TTCTCTCTCTCCCAGTCTCTCTCTCTCTCTCTCTGTCTTACCAGACGTCTTGTGTAAGAGGAGGGAGTTGCCCACACTTTATCCTCACCGCACGCGACCTGGTTGAACCCATTCATGCTGCTGTGCGGACGGATGGCGGTTGGGAGAGATTTTAAGAACTCGCACCATCGTTGTTGTTTCGACTTCCGCGCCGGGAGATGGAGTCAGACCGTCGACCTCTGGTGCATAAGTCCAGAGTGCCGCACCGTTTACACTGTGGCAGCACCTCTCCATCCACCACTGCGGAAGCAACACAACTCATTCGGGGTACACGACGCCAGTAGCAGGCTATTGCAGAAACAAAAAGCGGCAACTCGGTTTTGTAATACAGGAAATTGCCGTATTTTTTTACGGCTAAACGCAGGGCCATTTGGATTCCAATCGGTTGAGTTATTCCCCACTTTATTCTGAACTGAAACTTGAGAGTGGAACATTTATGCGGCCTGGTGACTCGGAGGTCGGAGCCCTGAGCCTAACACTGCCGAGCGGAAAGGGTTGGAGTCCAGGCTGTGATGAAACTAGTTTCTCAAGTGTCGATGGTCCTCGGCCCAGTCGCTCACGACGGCACTTAATTTGCCAACACTCCAGCTCTTGCGAAATTAAAGTTATCGGGTTTGACTGTCACGTGATGAACATCACACTCAGTGGCAGGGCGAGTGGGAAAGTGCTGCTCGCTGCCCTGTGGACCGGCAGGTCTCTTGAAGAAGGGATCTCGGAGGTGGCTCTGCCACATCCACTTCCGCGAGGCTGTTCTCCAACGCGACGTGTAAGGGTCGTCGCGCTGTCGTGCGAGACATCCGGAGGGATTCTTCGTATCGTGACGTGACGCCGACAGCAGCAATCGGGATTGAATCGAGGAAAGAACGTACAAAGAGGAGCAGAACAATTCACCTCCAGCAAATCGATTCGGGGCTCAGGATTCTATTCACAAATCACTCCCTCGTTCTTTCACACAGCAGTGAATGGTAGCACCTTCTGTGTCGTGGGGGGTGGGGGGAGGGCGCAGGGCGACGTGTTAATCTGTTCCAAATCGGACAAACTATGATTCTTACATGATTCTATGCATGTACCGTGGGCTTCAGAATCGATACAAGTCGTTAAATATCAGCGTGTAAAAACGCGCGTCGTGTGCAACTTTTCACGCATCAAAAGCGACCACAGTGACGTGCGATCCGGAACCTGCTTTGTCAGGTAAAGGCGCAGCCCTGCAATTGCTTGCTCCCACGACTGCTGACATAAGCGCCTCCTCCGCTAGTGGGAGCTCTCGAGAGACCCCATCTAGAGGGTATTTGGCCTACTCGTCCGCGCCAGCTAGATGTCTTGGAAGAGGTGGGAGTTCCCACGCTCTACCCCACCGCGTGCGATCGACTAACCGTGGTGTCGCCCAATTATACTGCCGAGTGGACAGAGGCTCTCGGGGGGGGGATTTAAGATAAACTATTTTAGAACTATTTTACCAGGCAAGGCCCCACTGAGCTATATATATATTTTTTAACAAGCGACTTGGCCACAAATGAAAGCTCAATGAAGTGGCTTAACGAGTGGAAATTTATAGCAGCCAAATACCCTTGAGTCTAAACGCATGCTTCTAAACGTGGAAGGAAAAAAACCAGAAGACCCGGAGAAAGATCCACGCCACCAACGGGGAGAGCGAGAGAGAGAGCGAACACACAAACTCCAAATATACAGCAGGCGTCAGGCTCGGGGTCGGGATGGAACCCACGACCTCCTGTATACCAGGCGGGGTAGTTAACATCTCCTAGCCAATTCTAGATTTGAAGCTTTCGTGACTGCAAGGATCCATACTCTTTGGTTCTATTCGGTAAAGTCACGTAAAAGTATATTTTTATTTTTTGTTGTTTTATACTTTTACGTGACTTTACCAAATAGAACCAAAGAGTATCTCCTAGCCACCGTGCTTCAATGTTTCAACTGCCGCTGCGGGAGATCGAATCGAACTGGTAACTGCGAAGACTGTGTGTGATAAACATTACACGCCGGCATTTTCTGCCTTGACGTAAATATTTATATATAAATATATATTTTTTCCCCGCAACGTTCTCAGTGGTTATCGCGTTGGCTTCCGGCATTCATTATTTAGCCATTCCTCTTGCAAGCTTCCTTCCTTAACGTTTAAACGGCTGTGGTCTCCTATGGCTTAGGGAACTCATTGTCAGTCAGTGCCTGCTGTTAGAGACGCAGAGAGCTCCGTTTAGCCCCCCCCCCTCTCCCCCTGCCATTCTTGATTCAAGGCCAGAGCTTTCGTCAAGTTAGATGAAATCTCAGAGGCTGGAAACCAATGACTGCACTAAATAACACAGTAATAATACTTTAAAAAATGTACATGTATGTGAGTGAGTGTGAGTTAGTGTGTGAGTAGTGTTGGCACAGTAGGGGGCACAGGTGGTGCATCAGCCAGTCATCTCAGTCATCTCAGTCAGTCGACCCGCGGCACCTGGGTCTGCCCCGTGACCTCCTGCCAGCGGGCGTTTGACACTTCACGTGGCCTCAAGGTGCACATGGCCTGGCACAAGCGTCGTGGTGACGTCACCGCCACTTAGTAGCGAATGGCGGTTGTTGTTGTGAGTGTGAGTGAGTTAGTGTGTGAAGAGTGAGTGTGTGTGAGTGAGTGAATCAGTGTGAGTGTGTGTGAATGAGAGAGTGAATTATTGCGCGTGTGAATGAGTGGAGGAGCGGTAGTGTAGCGGTTAGCGATACGCTGCGCTATGCACCCAGTGACCCGGGTTCGATTCCCGCTCACGGCCAACACCAGTGACGATTATCTGAACCGGTCCTGGGCCTCCCCTGGGTCGACTCAGCCCCAAATAAGTACCTGGTGCGGTGTGTAAACATCGCTACTGGGGAGACAAAGGCGGTCGGGCGTCATGCTGGCCACCCACCCCCTCGTGTACCGTTCCGGCCTTAATAGGTGCTCGCTAACAGCACTTGCCCCTACAGTCTGTTACAGGCTATACGGGGGGAGGATCTGTGTCTTCGTGAGTGAGAGTGAGTTAGGGTGCATCGTCATCCAGCATGCTCCGGCTGAGTGCGGCACGGTGTTGACACTCGTTGTGCATCGCAGCTACAAGTTGGATTCCTGACTCGGGCACCTTCATGCGTGGAGTTCTGTATGTTATCCCTCTCTACCTCATGGGTTTCTCCCATGTTGATAAAAAAATAAAATCCCGGTTCAGAAAAAAAAAACCCTTAACTATTGATAAAAAAAAATAACTGGGACTGTACGTGGCAACATTGCCCCCTACTGGCAAAAACGCGATGCCAGCCATTGTGCAGGATGCGCCATCTCAAGGGCCGAACGGAGGTTTCAATAAACACGTGGCGGTAGAGCAAGTGGGTTGTGGAACCCTGCTGGTGCAGACCTTGGAATGTTTTAGTGCCACTCCACGGTGACGCTCTGGTGAGTCGGACTCGTCGGCGAGTGGGGGGGTGCCTGGTCTGGCCGGAGCTGCAGGGAGTAGTTTGGCTCTCGGCTAACACTTATTAAAACCTCGATAACAACAACAACCGTGTGTTACTGTAAATGTGTTTGTGTGTGTGTGTAGTGTGTGCGTTACCGTACAGACATGCACATTTAAAAGTCGTCGGAGTATGCGGTGCACTGTACTTTTAAACGACTTACAGCTGAATGATTCTTACCCACGTTGACAAGTGTCCTGTAAACAGTCCCTCGCACCACCCCCCACAACCCCTCCCCTTCATCCCCCACCACCCCTCCCCCATCATCCCCCACCACCCCTCCCCCATCATCCCCCATCACCCCCCCCCCCATCATCCCCCACCACCCCTCCCCAATAAGGTCGTGAGGGATATGTGACCATACTTCACCACGCTGGTCAGCGCGGGTTGCTGACAGCTGCCTTGAAAGGCCCAGTTGTATCTGTGCAAGGCGAGAATCCTGATGGGACGTCGGTCGACGCTGCAAAATTCCGTTCCGCGTTCGTAAGGAGCTTTTGGGGGGATGGAAGATGTGAAATATTCCCAGCTAGGTGCCAAAATTGCAACAACAACAACAACCACTTGAATTTAACACGAAGGCTTTCGATATTGTGATTCAGGATCGATTTTTCTGTCACATCGCCTAAGAAAAATGCGCGTTGCACACAACTCTGGCGACTGCCTGATGATGCCCGGTTGGTTGTAACTGCCAGCGAGATGTCGCGAGACTGCTCAGCAACATTACCAGTGGAGTGCTGAAGCAGTAATAAATTGGCGTGTTCGTGTCACGTGACAACTTGATTGATTTCCCGTGTCGGGCGGAGGAGGGTTTACAACATATTTTACTCTGACGATCTGACCCAACGAACAATAATGAATGGCGACTTAAACTTGTGATGTTGGTCGTGGCCAGGAATCGAAATTTGCTCGCTTGGTTCACAGCGCCGCAGCGTGCAGGAGATGTTGTCCGTAGCCTCGATTCTGTTCTCTAATTCTTCCTTCTCTGCTCGCGTACTCACTCGGCGATCCTCTTGGTATCACCCTCGTGTATGTTGAACTTCTTTCGCACCGTACGTAAGCCCAACCGTACTAATCGGAGGTGCGGAGAAAGGACAACATATTAAACACAAAAAAGCAGCTTTAAAACAAATGAGTTTTCAATCTGGATGGTTTAAAAGTGCTTCCTAACATCGGATGAACGTTCCAAACGACCGCAGGAACACAACTGAAAGCACCATGCGATGCGGTGACCGTCTTTGTTCGATGGCTAGCCAAAAGCCGCTGCTGCTGCTGCTGCTGCTGCGAGGATGATCGGCGGAGTTCGCGAGATGATTTATGCTCATTGACGAGATCAGCAAGTTATTGTGGTTCAGTTGTGGCAAGCATTTTTGTGTGCAATGAGTGCGACCTCATAATCTATTCCCCCAGCAACCGGAAGCCAATGCAGCTCTGCGAGCACTGGACGGGTATCAGCCCGTGTTCTCTCCCCACGCGTGTACCCACAGCGCTCATCAAGTACGTGCAGCCCGTGTTCGTGTCCCGCGACGATCCCAACTCTCGGCGGAACACCGTGGAGGAGATCAAGCGACGAGCGGCCACCAAGGGGAAGTGGCCTCCGGTGAGTCGAGTTCAAGCCCCCCCCACACCACCCACCACGACCTCCAAAAATATAAAAGAATAGGAAGAAAAACCACGCACACACATGGATTCCGTGACGCTTTCCCCGCGTGCGTTTGTCCCCCGTTGAAGTGTTGAATTGGCAGCGCGGACGCCGATGGAGAACCTGCCGGGGGCGTAAGCGCGTTCGCGTGCTCGGGGCCAGCGCTTACGGGAGCGGTGGTTCGCGACGTCGCATTTTGCGCGACCGTTCCATCGACGCGCGTGTTCGGTTTTCTATTGGGGGTTTTTTACGTTCCGGTAATGTGCAAATATTTTGTAGTGCTGCCATTCCGAGAGGGAAGGGAATGCGTATCTGTCATCAGGGGTGGGTGGATGGGTTGGTGGGTGGCGGGGGGGGCTGTTTGTGGAAATTTTTTCGTTGGCTGAAAAACTCATCCCTACACCGACTACATCCACCGAATGGACAAGCAGACGTCCGAATGCTCCAAGACAACTAGTTTCCAGGCGTGGGTGAACAGTTAGCGGAATATTTTTTTTTTAATTGTTATTTGGTTGCGTACACGCAGTTTTACTACGAGGGTGGTCAGGGGATCGCTGTGCGTGCGTAGCTCAAAGTTGCGAACTCGTGCGCATTGTCCACAGCCAATGAGTAAGATTTATCACGGAAACAGAACGTGCCAATTCGTTACTAGTACAGCACAACCGGTATGTTGGAGAGCACATCCACAACATTTAACATTTCGAGTACGACGTTTCGCCAGCGATTACAATGAGCATCATCAAGCGTCGGCCAGATGAGTGGAGAAATCCTCCTGTTTCGTTCCTTAAATAGAGGGATGAATGTGATGTCGTCATTTGTGAGCCAATCGATTCAACGACACATTTATATTCACGTGATCTTACCCAGAAACCTCTTATGGGTCGCGAAAGCCTACAACGTGTTAAACTGACGTACGCATTGCATACCCCGCATTCTGGTGTAGCTTGGGGGGGGGGGGGCGGATGCACAGGAGTTGCTTGCACTGTCCCGCAAGCCCTGCAATAAAAATGTGGAATCCCGTGCGTTTGCCCTGTTGGTGTCGCTTATTCATAGATTTATTTTTCGATTATTTCACGTGGATCATCCCTTGGGATGGAAGATGTCGTTTGCAACGGCACCCATCCAGTTGGAATTGCCACGTGCGTCACAAATGCGCTATGATGAGATGATTGACATCGATACCAATTTTTTTGTTTTTATCTTTTAACCATACTTTTTATGAATTCATACAATTAGCTTATGCTTGTTTGTCCAGGAAAGCCTCACCGAGTCCGATAAGTAAGAACATTTTAGATTGCGCACTCTTATACGAGTCCAGTCCATCACGAATGCGCACTAATCACGCATTGAAGTAGGCTCTCTGGAACAACAACACTGGTTAGAATCATTTGCGGAACACTGGCTCAGACTCGGGGATGGATGCCGTACGTGTGCTGGCAGCGTGCTCCGGCGTCTTTGGGCCCGGATACTCCCTGAAAACTGCGGCGAGCCATATCGCGCACGAGGTTTGTTTACATGCGGGGGGGGGGGGGTGGTGGTGGGGTACAGCAGCAGGGGGTACAGCAGCAGGGGGTACAGCAGCAGGGGGCGCCGCTTGTCGCAGGAGTCGATTTGGGTCTGTTGAAGCTGGCGCTCACCGATCGGCGGGATAGGATGCAGGGGATTGATGGAGACTCTTGAAAAGGAGTAGGCATAGTTTTATATTTGTATTATTTCATTGTTTCCCTTCTACGTGACTTTACCGAAAGAACCAAGAATCAGGAGTGGGCATAGTTTATGCGTGATCCTGTGTTTAATAGGTAGCCAGTGCAGCTCATCACGTATAATATTTCTGTTTCCGATCAGTCGAGCTGCAGCATTTAACTTTTTGAGGAGGGTCCTGCCAAACTTTCGCGCTAGGCGGCAGCAATTGCTCTTCATATTCCAATTGAGTAAATTTTCGGTGTACATTTTTGCCACGTTTTTTTTTCATTCGTCAAAATTGAGAAAGGAGGAAAGCCAATGAGGTACGAAGCTATTTCTTTTTTTTTTACTTTTACGAATCTCCGGTAGCGATGGGGGTCAGCGAGTTACAACAACAAGCAATGCAAAAAAATTACATAAATTCCTGCCGGGGAAGCCACACCCGTACGCCCCACGACCGTGAACGCGCCGCCGTGTTCTCATCGGACCGCAGACCGTAACACGCGATGGCATAAGCTGCTGTTAAATATACACTCGGCAGTAGTGTACCGGTGCCAACTTGGCCTTGCGTGGGCCCGGAAAAATGTCAGCGGAATTGCCTGCGTGTGTTAAAAAAAAAAAAAAAAAGTCCGTTTGATCCAGGTCATTAAATAATGTTTGGAAGCCGATAAGCCCTTTGGAAATATTTTGGTCCTTTTTATGCGACAGCGCAAAGCCCTCCTCCTTACCCCCCCCCCCCATCATCTTCTGATCGACAACACAGGGGGAGCTTAGTGGTTACCTGCCTTCCCACCAGCAGCGGCGTGAGCAGGCAATAACCCTGCGGCCTTAAATAGGAAGCGTACAATGAGCGACGTTTCTGGCGACGGCCCTCCTTCACAGCACGCGCACAGAGAGAGAGGCCAGAGATGTAGAATCAGAATATTTATTGTGCTCAGAAGCTCTCTTTCAAGGGAGTCGCAACCAGCAGACAATATCAAAGCAATCCACGATTACAGATTTAAAAATAAAAACCCCCACCAAACTTGATAATAGCAATTACGTTGCAAAAAATGAAACGCTTAAACTTTGAGTGATATTAATGGAGTCTGTTTTAAGCGAGGACAGACATGGCAGAATGAAGTTGCCAAGAGAGGAAAATTAGTTGGGAATCCAAAATGTTGGGGGCAGCAGCTTCATGAAATACATTCGATCCAAATTGTTTGCAGAATCTGGGAACTGTTAAAGAGACGATCCAGACGCGCATCGCAGAGTTTTAGGATTGTCTAATGGTTAAAAAAAAACACACAGGTCGGACAAAGAAAGGGCAGATCTTGCGCACAATAGCCCTGTAAGAGAGCGGATCGCCCCCGTGCATTTCGGCGCAGAGTAAAGCTGTGCACATAAGTAACTGGGAAATAGATAACCCCCTGTTGTTTGAAACTTGTTCTGTCCCCTCGCCGCAGATCATGATCTTCCCAGAAGGAACGTGCACCAACAGGACCTGCCTGATCAAGTTCAAACCAGGTGAGGGGTGGCGACGATTCACGCGCTTGTCACGAGTCGAACGGCAGCTGAACATCGCCCGCCAAAAAATGTATAATAATAAAATAGTAAGTGCTCGTCTAAGGCGGTTAATGCATGTAAACACGCTGGGGGGTCGGGGGGGGGTTTGCCAGTCTGGTCACACTCGTCACCACACGCCCATGTTGACGCTGACAAATCGTCTTGTTTGCTGACACGAGACAGCACCCATTGCATCCATCGCGGGATCGTTAGAGGTGGTGTCAGTGGCTTTGGGATATCTGATTGATCGTCTTCTTACCATTGCAATCGCCAGCGCTCTACTTATTTATTCACGGTACTTGTTTGCCTCTTTGATGCGTTCATTCATTCATGTATTTGTTTACTCTGGTGCAGGCGCTTTCATTCCTGGTGTGCCGATCCAGCCGGTGGTGTTGCGATACGGAAACAAAATGGTGAGCACCGGGATCTCCGTACGCGTTGGCAAGAGGCAGCCTCTGTAGCGAGGTGTATTGTTGCCATGGGTATCGCGTGATATGAAACGCAATACGTTTGTGCAGTTGTCCGTTTTGTGTGTGTGCGTGTTTTATAGGACACTTAATACTCATCCGCTTATCAACCCCGCGCCTATAAAGTTTACACACTTCATGATGTACAGCATGTCCCGGAAGGCCTCGTCCACAATTTAAGGATTTTCATTCGACACCGCCAATGCATAATAGGTGCTATAGGTTATAGGTCCTGTCTCGTGGGCAGCAAAGGGCTATGTGGCACAATCCCGTCGCAGCCCCCACTGCACTTATGTGCTCCCCAACTTTACTGACCAGCACCAACCAGCGTGGTGAAGTATGGTGAAATAATCCCCCATCCACGACCGACACGATGTTGAGAGAGGCATTTGTCCAGCAGTGTGCGTCTGGAACGTGCTTCCTTACGATATTCAGAAGCCGCTGGAGCTTTGCACTTTTAAATCATCTAGATTGAGAACTCTTTTCTTTAGAACTGCTTTTTGTGTTTAGTTTTTCCTTCCCCTCGTACCTCCAATTAGCACGGTTGGCTACATACGGTGCAAAATAATTACAACATACGTCCGCACACGAGGGTACACGCGAGGATCACCGAGTGAGCGCGCGAGCGGAGAGGGAAGCATGATAACACAACATCTCTCAACATACGTACACACGCACACGTGGACATGTACACGCATCCCGTCCAGCGGTGGATCTCCCACTGGGACCCTCGGTCGTATCGGAGCACAGCGCCGATCGAGGGTTCACTTCCTCCCACAGCGGGAGGAAGCGGATCCTCGATCAGTGGGTGGCACTGCCAAAGAGAGAGGAGCAAGAGAGAGAGAGAGACCGTGGTCACTCTGGCGCCGGCACGGGCCCGCTACACGCGATACCAACACCGGCTGTGTGTACGTGCCCTGGTACAGGAGGAGTGCGGTATTTATAACCTCTAATATTAATGGTGATGGATACGATGGACAACTGAGAGGAGTAACCAATGTAGAAAAAGGTTTGCACAGGTGAGAAGACGACCCGATGATGCAGGCAGCGATGAGAAGGAAACTGGCACTATTCAGACACCTATCTACGTAAGATGGACAACAACAACAGGAAAATGTCAAGTGTTGTTGTTCGGAAAAATGGAAGGAACTGGAAAGAGAGGAAGACCGAACAGAGAATGGCTTCAAAATAAAGATTGTTGGGCTCAGATCGCGTTATTTATAAATGTGTCGCAGCCCTCCACCACCCGACACGGCCAACAAGTAAAAAATGTGTCAATCGGTAAAAAAAAAAACCCAGCCATTCAGTTCACCATGGAAATAACGCGATCTAACCCAAAAAATCTTTATGAATAATACTGGTCGTGAAAGCCTACGTGCTAAAGCGAATGGCTTGACAAGGACGACGATAATAGATTGGTGCCAGAAAGATGTGGCCGCTACTTGAGAAGATTGGCACAAGACAGAGATGAAAGTGGAAACAACAAATGACGAAATGTGCAGTGGACACCTACGGGCTATCTGCCCGTGGATCACGATGATGATGAATAATAATAATTATGATAATATAATATTGTATACGGCGTAATTCATTTTGAATCGCAGATCAAAGCCTCGTGGTTGTTTTGTCACGCCCTGCACAAGGAAGCCCGCACGCTCGCGCTTTAGGTGGTTTCACGAATTTGTGTGCGATCCAACACCCCCACCCCCACGCTGCCTCAACAGTGCTGGGTTACAGGCCACACTGGCATTGAGAGTCAGCGGCGCCCAGCACGTGTGTGACAATTAAGTGTCAACACAGTTGCAAAATAAATAGACTGCGTAAGCCTAGGTGGCTAAATGATCACTGCAATAAAGCACGGGTAAGTGCAACCACGGTGGAGCGATGGTTAGTGCAGAGCGCTATGAACACCGACAACCTGAGTTCAATTCCTGTACACGGCTAACATGAGTGGTGAGCGATGTGAAAATTAGTCACATACATTATGTGTGTGGCTTAACTTAACTGAGAATACCCCAACTAATAATAGTTATTTTAATATAGATGACTACATTAACCTCCACCCCCCCCCCTCGTCTGCGCACCTGATTGGCTCACAAGTGATGACATCACATTTACCCCCTCTGTTTAAGACCGAAACAGGAGGAGGATCTCTCCACAACTGGTTGTTATTACCGGTGAAACGTCACAGTACTCGGAATTATAAATGTTGTCGGTTTACTCTCCAACACACCGGTGGTGCTGAACGAGTAACTAATTGGCACGTTTTGTTTACGTGACAAACCTTACTAATTGTCTGTGTCGCCAATCAGTTCAACGACACATTTATATTTAGGTGATCTAACCTAAATAAACCTCTTGTGAATGTCAAAACTGGTCCTGCCCCTCCCCCCCGCCACCATTATACCAACCCACACTGACCAGCGTGGTGAAATATGGTTAGGGGAGAGCCTCCATCCAGCAGTGGATTGACAAAGGGGCTTTACTGCCGATGCTGCCAGGATGTTGCATTATTGAGTAGCATGGACACTGTAATCCCATCGAGCAAAGAGCAAACGCGGGAGGTGTAATTCTGGAATCCAGAAACCCGATCCCGCATCGATATCCTTGACATAATGCTTTGCGTCCGCCGATGCAAATAGCCTGCCTGTGAACAGCCCGTGAACCCCACAGCCCGTGTAACTGATGGGAACATCCATCACAACAGCTCTGTGTGTGGTTAAATCTAGTACACACTTGTGTATTGCCTTTGCTGTGAAAACATTTGTAAGCAGCGCGTCGAAGTGTGTGGACGGGTGTGGCGGTTAGCACGCTGCGCTACGAGGCCCGGAGGCCCGAGTTCAATTCCCGCTCCCGGTTTCTGGGCTTCCCCTAGGTCAGCTCGGCCTCAAATAAGTACCCCTTGCGATGTTTAGACATCGGCAGCGAAGATACAAAGGCGGCCGGGGCGTGGTGACGGCCGCTCGCCCTCCTCGTGTGCCGTACCGGCCTTAACGGGTGCTCGTTACGCAACTTATATTGGTCTGTTTGTATGTGTGTTGAACTTCTTTCGTAGCCAGCCGTGCTAATCGCCGGTGCGTGTGTCCGTCCGTGTGTGTGTGCGTCCGTGTGTCCGTGTGTCCGTGTGTGTGTGCGTGTGTCCGTGTGTCCGGGTGTGTGTGCGTGTGTGCGTGTGTGTGTCTGTGTGTGTCCGTGTGTCCGTGTGTGTGTGCGTGTGTGTGTCCGTGTGTGTGTCCGTGTGTGTGTCCGCGTGCGTGGTAATTGCAGGACACGATAACTTGGACTTGGCATGGACCGACGGCGTAAGTTTTAACAATGTTTACTCCTCGCCCGCATCACTGCACGTTACCACAGCTGCTTCTTACATGCTCACGCGCCAAGTTGTTCACATTTAGCCTGCGCGTCCGTACCGCTCGGAGGCTCGCAGTTACGCAGCCACAAATGTACCGCGATGAGAATGACGAATGTTAGCCGTTCCCAAATCGCCCGTGATAACGCCCGATATCATCAAGCCTGGACAGCGTATGGCACAGGCGCTGTGAGTTTTCTGTGGGGTTGCGTTGTGGATGGCAGAGGGCAACGCAGCAAACTCCTTTGTTGTACTGCACTGTGCTCATGACGTCTACGCTGCCCTCAGTGGATTGATTGGCGGGGAAGGGCTGAACGTGACATGCACGTTCTAAAAACAACCACAAAAAGTCGATACGTTGCGAGTGCGTAATTCTAATTGAATGACATTGATCGTTGGGAGTGTTTGTGAATATCAATGGTATGTGAGGGCCCAGCCACTCCCGTAAACAACTTAGAATATTTTCAGCTCTCCGATCGCCTCAACGGGGTCGTACAGCCGCGCTCTTCGCCACGATGTCCGACGTTTCACTCCGCGTTCTGGGAGTTTGAGCCTTTCCCATTCTGATGACGTACGTAAAAGGCCGCGCGGGAGGGAGTGTCCCAATTTTGGCACCAGCTATCGCGGAGTGCGGTCATGTCCCTACGGTTCTCTGCGGTGAGTAACAACGTCTTTAAAAACAACGGCGCTGCTGCTACGCCTCTCTAAATAAAATGAACGCCGAGCCGCTTGCAGGTTCCGAGATTCGGCGGTGAGCGGGACACCCACCCTGCGACTTGCACATGTCCCGGAAAGGGTTCATCGTTTATTTCCTGAAGAAGCTCCCAGCACGTGGAGCGAAACGTCGGATATTGTGCCAACCACGTGTTTGTTTGTGTGTGTGTGCGGGTACGTATGCATGTGTGTTTAAGTGTGCGTGATTATGCACCTATGTCTTTGGGGAGTGGTGGCGTAGTGGTTAGCGCGCCTCACTACGAACCCGGCGACCCGAGTTTGATTCCTGCTCCTGGACCAACTAAAGTGGCGAATATTTGCACCGGTCCTGGGCCACCCCTAAAGTCGACCCACACTTAAATGAGTATCTGGTCTGGTGTGTATAGCACATCAGCACTGGGAAGACAACGGATGCTGGGTGTAGTGTTGGCCACACAACCACCTCGTGCACCACGCCAGCCTTAATAGGTGCTCGCTAACAGCACTTTACTCAACAGCTCATTCAAGCTAATCAGGGGGATCTTTCACTTGTTTGTGTGATAATGTGTATGGATGCGGTGCATTGCTACGATTATATCGGATGATTCACTCCGCATGCTGGGTGATGAAGCCCCCAGAACGGGATGGAGGGGGGGGGGCGAGGTGGCGAAACGTCGGACATGGTGCTGAACAAACACGCGGCATCACTCGACACGCACATCGGACGGTTACACGGCCTGGCGCCTAAGCAGGCATATCGAGCGCTCGCTTGTAACCCAACGAACGTTAGCATGAGCATACCTGGTCCATTCCGGCACTGACTTGGGCATTCCTGAACCTACGAGATCAATTTCCTCGGCGGGGGGGGGGGGGGGTTGTTCGGTTTCCCTCCCGTGGCTATAAAACAAAAGTGTGCTTGCACACACGCCACGGGTGTTGGCCAAGCTTCCCAATGTAGCGTCACCCTCCTGAAAAAGGGTCTTGGGATTCGGCGAGGCTTTCCCTGGGTATATCTGTATATAACATTCATTATAATGATGATTATTATACGCATGGGAGTGTGGAGAGGAAATGATGCTACAGCAATAGGTGGCGCCACGGTGGCTCGGAGATGTTAACTATCTCGCCTGATGTACAGGAGGTCATGGGTTTGATCCCGACCCTGACGCCTGCTGCTGTGTTTTGCGTGTCTCTCTCGCTGTGGTCACGTGGGTTCTTCTCCGGGTCCTTTGGTTTTTCCTCCACATTTAGAATCATGCATTTAGAGTATTTGGCTGCTGTAAATTTTCACGTGATAAGCCACTTTGTTGAACGATCATTTGTGAAAAAGAGCTATATAGCTCAGTGAGCGTTACCTAGTAAAATAAAAAATAGTTTAGTTTAATAGATATTGCTGTACTGCCCTCTGCTGCCCACAATGCACCAGATAATTATGTATTAAATATGCTTTTGGATTCATATAATCCATTGCTTTCTGTGCTGTGTACATATGCACCAGCATGTACTTTATGTATGTTGAACGTCTTTCGCTCCGATTGGTCCATAAACATTTAGCGTGAAGGCAAATTTCGCGTTAAGTCTGACCTGATATTCATTTTGAGTTGCCTCGTTTTGAAATCTTACCGGTCACCCCCACCCCGTATTAGACATTGGCAGTCTAAAGCCCGGCTCGGTTTGCCTTTCAAAAGAGGATCGTGGGATGGTGGCCTGGAAATTCCATTCTGATCCGATGACCCCCGTTGTTTATCGATACATTTCCGGGCGTCGTGCTGTTGACGCTGATGATGACCGCTGACTCGCAAACAGCCTTCGCGATATGCCGGGCCTTCCCTTACGTGCGCGCGCGCTCGTTACCGAGCTGAACGTTCCTTTAATATTTGTCTACTGCAACCGAATGGCACCGGATGTCTCGTCGTAGGCTCACGGAAGCCGAGCAGGCTTTGAAACTTGGTGAGCAGTTTGGATTTCGTGACCATCACCGGGGCTTCGTCAGGCGTCGTAGGCGTGGGGATTGCGAGGCGTGCTGGGTTTTTTTTTCTTCGGGGTTCTCCGTTTGTTGGCTGATAAAATTGTCCACGAGATAATCAACTGGGTTGAGCTGTCGTTCGAGAGAGCCATGTCGCTTCTGAAAAATAACTATGCAGCTCAGTGGGCCTAGCCTGGTAAAATAAAAAAAATAGTTTAGTTAGTTCCCCCCACGCCTTGCCAAAACCCGAGTTGTTTTTCTTTTCCCATTCGGCATTCACAAATCATCGCAACGCTCCGATTCAGACCCACAATGCTTTGCACAATTGCATCTTACTATTGCGTAGGGATAATTTTAATTAAACACCATGTTCGATTGGTTAGAGTTTGGTGTTTTGGTGTAAAACTCGGCTGTGAGATCCCGAAATCCTCGCCCATCATCACTCCCCGTTCAATTAAACGAGTACCACATTGTGCGTTTCATTGCGTTATATCATGTAGCAAGATCGCCACCTACTGGCAGATGATCCACGTTTGTGGAACACTTTAATGATCGCCGTGTGCTTTCTGAATGACCTGTTCCAAAAAAAATATTTTAGAGTGATACTATGCATAGACTGACCCCCCCCCCACCCCCGCCATAGAAATTGGGAATTTCCACGACTCACTCAGGGCTGTAAACAGGAGAGATGCTGTATGAATCCAGGGAAACCACGATGTTGATGTTATTTGAGTGCCGTAATTGCTTCGATTAAATGTATGGTTTATTTTGTTAAACGACGCGCCCCCGTCTAACCGTTTGCACACTTGATTGCCGTCACTAACGTGTTTTGTTTGGCTCGTGATCTTTGCAGCCTGCAGATATTGTGGCTCACGCTTTGCCAGCCACATAACCGCATTGAAATTGAGGTGTGTGTCATTCACTTTAATTGCTTCTTATCAATCTGCGTCTGTTTGTTCGGCTGCGTCTGTGTGCGTCTGTGTCTGTGCACGGCTGCGTCTGTGTGTGGCTGCGTTGCCCCTGCTGTGGAGGGAGCAGTGGCACAGTGGTCAGCGCGTTGCGCTATGTGCCCAGCGACCCAAATTAGATTCTCGCTCGCTGTCAAAAACAGCATCTCTGAACCTGGTGCGGTCTGTAAACATCAGCACTGGGGAGACAAAAGCGGCCGGGCGTGGTGTTTGGCCACACCACCACACCACCACCTACGTGCGCTGTACCGACCTTAATAGGTGTTGGCTAACAGAACTTTTCCCAACATTTCTGTCAAGGGCTATACGAGGAGGTCTTTGTAATTCGGTCTTTGTTGCTTCTATTCCTGCTCCGTTGCATTGTTGCCGGCAATCGTTGCTGGCGGTGGGAGCAGTCGCCGCCCCGTTTTCAATCGTACACAGAATAATTTTCCACGTGATGAGCTCCTTCGTTGAGCTATCTTTTGTGGCCTGGTCGCTGGTATAATTAAACGAGTTCTAAGTTTAAAGTAACGGTAATTAATATTGAAAAGCGTGTGCTTCACTAACGTTGAGTGGTTGACTGCGCACTGGTAGTCACGTGACCTCTGTCTATGATCCGATTGGACGTCGCGATCTCTGTTGCCCAATCGCCGGCACCAGCACATCTAATCTAATTTGTCCAGCTTTGGGAAGGTGAAATTAACTTAAACAAATAAAATTGAATTGTGGCTTTGGCCCAAAAATCTGATACGATGTAGCTTTCTCTGCTGAAACTGGCACTGCGACTATTGATTAATTTCCGTGTTTTTTTATTTTATTATAACCGAGCTTTTGGCTTGAATCACAGATGTCTCAGTGACCTAAGGTGGTGATTGCATCTCCATGTCCAAGCTTTCATGGCCTTGGGTTCAAATTCACCATTTTCATGATCTTGCCGAAATTGTAGCTCTAATGAATCAGCAAGTGCGGTACCCCCCCCCCCACCCCACAGATGTGTTTGACTTCCTCTGTTTTCATCGGTTCAGTTGCACTGCCTGGATTTACGCATGGCGGCAACGAATGATCACACTATGCATTCCTCCACAATCATAACCACGCACCACACTGTGGGATAACCAGAAAGCGACATCGCAAGCACAGGTGTGCTGCTGCTGTTGCTGTGACTCGGCTCTGTGCCATCGTGTGATGTGTGCCTTGCTGCTGTCACCTGGCTGTGTCTTGTCGTGTACTGCTGCTGTCACCTGGCTGTGTCTTGCCGTGTACTGCTGCTGTAACCTGGCTGTGTGTCTTGCCGTGTACTGCTGCTGTCACCTGGCTGTGTCTCGCCGTGTACTGCTGCTGTCACCTGGCTGTGTCTTGCCGTGTACTGCTGCTGTCACCTGGCTGTGTGTCTTGCTGTGTACTGCTGCTGTCACCTGGCTGTGTGTCTTACCGTGTACTGCTGCTGTAACCTGGCTGTGTCTTGTCGTGTACTGCTGCTGTCACCTGGCTGTGTGTCTTGCCGTGTACTGCTGCTGTCACCTGGCTGTGTGTCTTACCGTGTACTGCTGCTGTCACCTGGCTGTGTGTCTTACCGTGTACTGCTGCTGTCACCTGGCTGTGTGTCTTACCGTGTACTGCTGCTGTCACCTGGCTGTGTCTTGCCGTGTACTGCTGCTGTAACCTGGCTGTGTGTCTTGCTGTGTACTGCTGCTGTGACCTGGCTGTGTCTTGCCGTGTACTGCTGCTGTAACCTGGCTGTGTGTCTTGTCGTGTACTGCTGCTGTCACCTGGCTGTGTCTTGCTGTGTACTGCTGCTGTGACCCGTCTGTGTGCTGTTACGTGTAGTGTTACCCCTCTGGCTTGTGCTGTGCCCTACGTATCGCGTGCTGTGCCCTGCGTACCTAACCGTGTGCTGTCGCTGCGAACAGTTCCTGCCCGTCTACTACCCGAGCGACGAGGAGAAGCGGGACCCCACCCTCTTCGGCAGCAACGTGCGGAGAATCATGGCCAGGTAAGGGCAACTGACGCGCGTGTTTGTTTGTGTGCTGTATGCGTGCGCCGACGTACTTTGTGCAATATGCTGCGTACTGTGTGCTGCATTCCTCTATGCTGAGTACTGTGCTGCGCTTTGTAGAATCCCCAACCGAGTCATTTGCGGTGAAATTTCCGAATTTGGCAAACGTGGACCCCGACGAAGCCGGCACACGATGCCCCCTCCCCTTGCGAATGTCATTATTACTACTACTACTACTACGGTTAACACACACCCGTAGTTAATAACCAGGGCGGCCGCTGGACTCGAACTACGAACCCGCGCGACGAGCGGCAACGGTTGTCGAACGCGCTGCGTACCGTGTCACCGCGTGCCCGCGTACGCACGTGCCAGGGCGCTGCGCGTGCCGCTCTCGGACGTGACCCTGGAGAGCTACCTGGCCCAGCGAGACCGCCGCGAGGCCTCGCAGGACACGGCGGCCACGGCGGACGTGGGCGCGCTGCTCCGCTCGCTACGGTACGCTCACCCGCCGGACGGCCGGAGCGGGGACGCACCTCCGCTGCGCCTGCGACGAGCCCACCCGGAACGCACGCACCTGCGACGCACCCCTGCTGCACCTGTGGCAGGCCCCTGATGCGCATTGTAACACGCCTTTATTTTAATCATCCCTATGGGAGGGGCGCGGGAGAGTGTGTGAAGCGGAGTAGTTGATGGAGATGAGAGAGGGGGAAGGTAGGCGGGGGGTTAGTTCCTACGATGGGCACGGTTGGCTACGTACGGTGCAAAAGAAGTTAAAACGTACACGCATTCCATGGGGGGGATCTAGCAGAGGATGCGTGCGATCTTGAAATTGATCCGGATTGGATTGGGGGGGTGGGGGGGGGGGGGGGCGGGTGGGGGTTAATCCTGGCTGCGGGACTTTAACTCTAACACGCGGTCGCGACGGCGCCGCACGACAGCGGCCCTCCGTTGCCCTCCTGCTTTGCCCCCATCTCACCAATGCAATTGAATGCGATCATTTACTCAACCGCCACGAGTCCAGTGTTGAATTTACGCCTCGGGCTATCTCTTGATTACCAGCTCGGCAGATGAACTCAACCGGGCCAGAGCAGATGTGGTGAAGCGGTCGCCCACCTCGGCGCTCGATCTAATCGCCGAGTTGTCCGGGACAGGGACAGAGCGGGCGGAGGAGGTCCCACCGTCCGGAGCCGTAGCACGGCTGGCAGCGGCTCGTGTGAACCGCTGCCAGCCAACGATGGAAAGCGGACGAGTGGCTTTGTGCGTTTAGTTTATTGTCCTTGCCCACCCCCGCGCCTCCGATGGGCGCGGTTGGCTGCGTACGGCGCTAAAGAAATTCGGCCGGCGTTGCTCGTCCATGAGCTTGGAGCGGGCGTTTGTACTGGTCGGCACCGTCCGAGACGAACTTCCAACTTGTGGCCAGTAACAATGAAATTATAAACTGCGTAAAAAAAAATACATGAATGTTTATTTTACCAGGTAAGGCCCGCTGAGCTATATAGCTCTTTTTCAGAAGCGACCTGGCTACCACAAATGATAGCGCGGCAAAAGTGGCTTCCGAAGCATTCATCGGGGGCCGTGTCGTATTAGCCGCGTGAATCGGTGTGTCTGACTGAAGCTGCGCGACTACCGTAGGGTGGTAGCGTCTGAGACCGCTGACCGCGGCCGCCCATGGGTTATAGGAGATGGCGGCATCTGCCGTGTGATGACGGTGACGACGACGATGACGACGACGACGATGACGACGACGACGACGACGATGACGACGGCGGCGACGACGACGACGACTCGTGCGTGCCCGTCAGCCTGGCTGCAGAGAACGGCGTGGAGCGGCGCGTGCGGGCGGCGGGTGCCCCCCCGGCGAGCGTGGAGGAGTTTGCCCGCTTCCTGGAGCGGCCGGTGACGGAGGCCCTCCGGCAGCTGTTCAGCACGCTTGACGCGGTGAGCCTAGCGTCACTCACGCTTGACGCGGTGAGCCCAGCCTCACGCACGCACGATGCAGTGAGCCCAGTGTCACTCACGCTTGACGCGGTGAGCCCAGCCTCACTCACGATGCAGTGAGCCCAGTGTCACTCACGATGCAGTGAGCCCAGTGTCACTCACGCTTGACGCGGTGAGCCCAGCCTCACTCACGATGCAGTGAGCCCAGTGTCACTCACGATGCAGTGAGCCCAGTGTCACTCACGCTTGACGCGGTGAGCCCAGCCTCACGCACACACGATGCGGTGAGCCCAGTGTCACTCACGCTTGACGCGGTGAGCCCAGTGTCACGCACGCTTGACGCGGTGAGCCCAGTGTCACTCACGCTTGACGCGGTGAGCCCAGTGTCACGCACACACGATGCGGTGAGCCCAGCCTCACGCACACACGATGCGGTGAGCCCAGCCTCACTCACGCTCTACACGGTGAGCCCAGCCTCATGCACGCTCTACACGGTGAGCCCAGCCTCACGCACGCTTGACGCGGTGAGCCCAGCCTCACGCACGCACGATGCAGTGAGCCCAGCCTCACTCACGCTCTACACGGTGAGCCCAGTGTCACTCACGCTCTACACGGTGAGCCCAGCCTCACACTCTACACGGTGAGCCCAGCCTCACTCACGCTTGACGCGGTGAGCCCAGCCTCATGCACGCTCTACACGGTGAGCCCAGTGTCACTCACGCTCTTCACGGTGAGCCCAGCGTCATGCACGCTCTACACGGTGAGCCCAGCCTCACGCTCTACTCAGTGAGCCCAGCGTCACGCTCTACACGGTGAGCCCAGCGTCATGCACGCTCGACACAGTGAGCCCAGCCTCACGCACGCTCTACACGGTGAGCCCAGCGTCACGCACGCACAGACAAAGATTCGCAGTATAGCCTTTTACAGATTGTTAGTTCAAGTGCTGTTAGCAAGCACTGGCCACCGTTGTCTCTACACGTTAACTGATGTTTACACATTGCACCAGGTACTCATTTGAGGTTGAGTCGACGTACAGTAGGCACAGGACCATTTTAGATAATCGTCACTGGTGTTGGCCGTAATGCGCTAACTGCTACACTAACGCTGCCCACAACTACACACAACACAAATACAGACAAACCTATACACGACACACAGACCTACACAAACCTACACACTGACACAAACAACTACACGCACAATTACACAGACCACGCACACAATTACACACAACACGCACACCTACACACACACCTGCACACAAACCTACACACCTAATCACGACGGACAGACCTCAACACAAACCTACACACCGACATACACAATTACACACAACACAAACAAAGAACAAAGATCCCCCGTATAGCCTTAACAGACTGAATGGGCAAGTGCTGTTAGCGAGCACCTATGAAGGCCGGAACGGTACACGAGGGGGTGGGTGGCCAGCACCACGCCCGACCGCCTTTGTCTCCCTAGTGGCAATGTTTACACACCGCACCAGCTACTCATTTGAGGCTGAGTCTACCTAGGGGAGGCCCGGGACCGGTTCAGATAATCGTCACTGGTGTTGGCCGTGAGCGGGAATCGAACCCGGGTCGCCAGATGCATAGCGCAGCGCGCTAACCGCTACACCACCGCTCCCCACACACACAACACGCACACCTACACACACACACCTACACACACACACACACCTACACACACACACACCTACACACACACACCTACACGCACACACCTACACGTCGACACACACGCAACTACACACGCTGGCGGCGCACCAAAATGAAAGGAAAACCTCGCGTTCCCCGGCATGTTGTGACTCCTCCGCTGGTTTGTCCCCTCATCTAAAATCAAATCTCCACGCTCCCTCGTCTCGATGATCGATCCCAATTACTCTTCCGCTGCCACCTATTAAAGCGCGAGCGCTTTGCCGGTGGCTTCGCGATCGATGCCCCCAGAACAAGCGCAAGAGTCGCCGGTCAATGTCGCGCGCCCTCGGCTGCTGCGACCCGCATCATCGCAGCACGGTCGATGAAATTAAGTGCCGCTTTGTAGGAGGAGGAGGAGGAGGACGAGGGTGGATGGTAGTAGTTGGTCACCTGATGGATCGGACTTTGCCCGCCCACCCCCCACCCCCCTTACCGTGGGAATGTGGAATTTCCACGGCTGGTTTCGGAGCTGACGGGGCGAGGAGATGAGCGGTTGTCTCGGTGTCCGTGTGGTTCGTGAGGCCAACGGTTCCCAACCTTTTTGAGCGTGCGGAGCCTTGTTGAACCTCCAGGCATTTCGCAGACCACCACGTGTGCCACTAGTTGTTGGAAATAGTACATTGCCTTGACGAGGATGATATATCATTTGTCTTTTCTGTACCCCCCCCCCCCCCGGACCCGTGGAGGCCCGCGGGACCACGGGTTGGCAACCGCCCTGTGCGAGACGCTACAGTCCCTGGTTGTGAGCGTCGTGAATCGATTGTTGCCTCTGTTGTCATTTCTGTTGCGGTCACTAGAGGGCAGCGTTGACCTTCAATCCGCCGCCGTGGTGGCGGCAAGGAGATGTGACCTGCCTCGCCTGGTATGCAGGAGGTCGTAGGTTTGATCCCGACCCTGACGCCTGCTGTTTATTTGAAGTTTGCGTTGTCAGTCTCTCCCCGTGGTCGCGTGGATTTTTTTTCGGGTCCACATCACGCGTTTTAGAGTATTTGACTGCCATGAATGTCCACGTGATAATAAGCCACTCCATTGAGCTATCATGTGTGGCCAGGTCGCTTCCGAAAAAGAGCTGTACGGCTCACTGGTCCGTACCTGGTAACATATTTTAAAAGTTTAGTTTAAAACCCAGTGTTTGTAAGGCCTTGCAAGCCCTATGCTCTCAGCCTTCATCCCCGGCCATGACGGGCATGGTGAAGTATGGTCAGATGCCGCCCCCCCCCCCCCACGATCTGCACGGTGTGGATGGAAGCCCTCGTTCAGCCAGTGGCATTGACAGAAAGGGCCTGTGCATGCGAAACGGCATGGGTGAAGTACGGTCGGAGTGCTGTATGTTAGTTTGCGTTGCTTTAACCAGGCGAGAAGCTGCATGTGAGACGTGACGAGTCTCATTTTCAAGGGTTACGTAAAAATGAGTACGGCGACGAAGCGAAGTGGAAGTAGGAGCAAAAACAACAGCGTGTCAGAGTAAATCGAAAACAGTGCACAAACATACGTTTCATTGTTTACCCATGATAGGGTAAACAAGTATTATAATAATAACAACAAATCAATATTAAATAAAATACAATTCCTGTTACAAAAGTTGGCACGGACAAATTACGTTTTTAAAACAATTCTTAAAAGAAAAAAAAAACATGCTGCTGGTGATGACGATGATGGTAAGCGATTTCGTTTAGTGTTCGCAACCATTCTAATAGTGGGGAGCGACGTTTGCCGTGCAATATCCAAATTGAGTAATTTGAAGTGTAATGTTTGTCCGTGACGCCGGCAATGCAAGTGGCCTTCTCCGTTCAAATGATGTCACGGGGATGTTCAGTGTGCGGTGTGAAGCACGCATCAAATGGTTAACGCACACCCCCGCAGTACTAACCAGGGCGGCCCGCCGGATTGGAATCGCGCGGCCCCTAAACAACTAGCGGCGAACGCGCTACCGCTGGCAGTGGTGATGATGGCGATGATGATGATGGCGATGATGGTGATGGTGAAGATTGTGGTGGCGACGATAGTGGTGGTGACGATAGTGGTGGGAGCGGTAGTGTAGCGGTTAGCGCGCTGCGCTATGAACCTGGCAACTCGAGTGCGATTCCCGCTCACGGCCAACACCAGTGACGATTATCTGAACCGGTCCTGGGCCTCCCCTAGGTTGACTCAGCCTGAAATGAGTACCTGGTGCATTGTGTAAACATCGCCACTGGGGATACAAAGGCGGTCAGGCGTGGTGCTGGCCACCCACCCCCTCGTGTACCGTTCCGACCTTCATAGATGCTCGCTAACAGCACTTGCCCCTTCAGTCTGTTAAGGCTATACGGGGGATCTTTGTCTGTGGTGTCGATGGTGATGATGACTTGGGTGATGATGGTGATGATGATGATGGCGATTGCGATGACGGTGATAATTACGTTATTGGTGTGCGCACATTTAGGACGGCGATGGGAAGGTGGACCTCCTGCAAGCGGTGGACCGTCTGTGGGGCCACCGAGACAGCATGGAGACGGGGGGTGGGGGCTTGGGCGACGGGGTAACAGGCGTCTCGACCGCAGCGGCCTGCGCCGATTTCTCTCCCTCCGACGACAAGAAATCCGTCTGACCGCGCACGCACACACACACACACACGCGCGTACACGCGTACACGATCGCCGTGAAGCTGGTGTGCGTGAGTACTTACGCACGTACGCACACACGTATGTACGTATGTGTGTATGTCTTTACGTACGTGCGTGCGTGTGTACGTGCGTGCTGGATGGACGAGAGACGGAGATGTGGGCGCGTCTAGTGGAACGCGCGTTTGTCTCATTCGTATTTATTAGTTATTGCAAACATCTGCAGTACTTCTATATTTGTAAGCAAAATGATTGTTGCTGGATTTTGCAAAAATATTACACGGTGGGGGGGGGGGGGGGGGGGGGTTTGGGGGGCGGTGGGGGTTTGGGTGGGGGACGGAAATATGTTACATGGTGAACGTCGCTCGCGAAGTTTGTTAAACTTTCAGATGGGAGCGCTCGCTCTCAGTTGAGACAAACGACAACAACAACAGCAGCAGCGACGATGACACAAAGGTGCAAACGCCACCGAGTCCTTTGTGTGTTTTTAGTTTTTTTTTTTGCTTAAAGGGTTCATTTTAAAAGAAAAGGTTTTCCTACTCTGGACGTCTTATATTAACGACGAGGGAGGGAGCTCTACAATGGCAAATTACGCAGTTCAGGATCGAGTCCCAAACTTTGTCCGGAATGCGATGCTTCGCCGCGATTTTATCTCGGCACCCGGCCGGATGTTTTTGGAGTTGCCGTTTTTTAATACTCGCATCTGTCGCATCTGATGTTCCCAGGGCTGGTCCTGAATTGCAAACCGACGATGTCTGCAAAATTTAAATTTTTAAATCTTCGTTTTTTTTGTCATAACCTGAGGCTTACGACGAGGCTTGGTATCCCATCCCGACCACCGCTGATATTTTTTCCACTGGCACATCCGAGCCGAGTCGGCGCTACGGCTGTGTCACGGCAGGGCTCGTTTTTCCTACTGGCTATCAGCCGCGATGGCGAGATGTTAACTCCCTCGCCTGGTATGCAGGAAGTCGCGGATTCGATCCCGACGCTGACGCCTCTATATATGGTCGCATGGATTTTTCTCCGGGTCCTCTGGTTTTTCCCCCTTCACGTTTGGAATCATCATCACGCATTTCGAGTATTTGGCTCCTATAAATTTGCACGCGATGACAAGCCACTTAGTTGAGCTATCATTTGCGGTTGCCAGGTCGCTTCTGAAAGAGAGCTATTATTTAGCTCGGTGGGCCTTACCTGGTAAAAATAAAAGATAGTGTTAGTTTTAATTGTTTAATCGGTTCAGGGGGGAAACCAATTTCCATCGTCCGTCACGGCGTCAATCGGTACACTTGGAACGCGCGATGCCCCAATGTCACGTGACCGATGCGCAGCTTGTGTTTCACCGTGGAGGGGAACCACTACCCACTCCGTCTGCATTTTAAACGTACGTTTGCAATTGAAACGCACGCTCGAAATCTTGAGCATCGAAATAAAAGTCCGTGCAGCGCGCGCACGATTTCTAGGGGGGCGATTGCGGAACGTGATGCGGACGTGATGTGACATTTTGGTTCGTCACGCGCGCACACCGCGTACGTGAGTGGCTCGTTTGGAGGTTGCTCGTAGAGAAATCGCAATCGCGCATCCGACGGGGGGGGGGGGGGAGGGGGGTTCACACTTTTTGGATTAAATTTTTTACCTCAGGTGTCTGCTGCTGCAAATGCCATGTACAAAAAGTAAACGGTGAAATACAAAATGCTTTGTGTCAGCATTGTAACCAAGCTGGCAATTTTTTTACGCAAGTGTTCTGCGGAATAACAGAAAACCCGGATTCTTACCGTTCCCGGTTACACTCCACAAGTGCTACAGAGGTTGGTATTAAGAGAAATCACCTTCCGTTCTGTGTCACGGCACACACACTCAAATGCAATGCAACACAGCCCCGCACGGCGTCTGAACGCTTTCCCGTCTCAAGACGCTGTTCGAGCGACGGCTGCGGTCAATCGTAGACAGAGGAAAAGAATTAAGGTGATTTGAGCCTGAACAGGGGCCGGGAGTCGGCAGCACGTGTGGCTTGGGGGGGAAGGGAGTTGTAGATGTGGGGGCAACAGAGGAGAAGGAGCGACCCCCCCCCCCCCATTCCCCCACTTGAGCGACGATTGTCTGGCACCTTTAATTGAAAGCCTTGGCTGCAGGCAAAATATGATTATGATAATTATACAAAATAAGCCAACAGTATTTAACAAACCTGTTTGCTGACGAGCACCATGAATGTCAAAACCAGTCCATATTTTCAGCCGCTTTTAACAAATGCCGCCGATGAACCTGATCAATCAGCAGCGGTGTTAATGGAAATTCGGAGGTCGCCGCCGGTTCAATTTCCCGGCGCGGCAGTTTTAACGCGGCGAGTTTCTTAAATTAACCCTCCCTGCGGCGTCTGTCCAGCCAGCGGTATTAATGGGCTCGGGTCAACGTGTTGGTGTGGGCAACGTTGAGGGTATTCCGCCGCCTCGTCCGAGGTGGCTGGCTGGCGTGGAAGAGAAGGCCCAAGCGATTTGCAGGGCTACATGCACCCTATTAACTTTTCGACGTAAATTCAGTGAACGAGTAACATCGCCACATTGGCCAGCGATGCAAAACGTCGTGAAGAAGCGTTTATAATAATATATTTGGAGACAGAACGGAGGGGAATATTTATTTTGCTATTAAGACGCGATTACCTTATTAAACTGTGAGCCAGCAATGATAAAGGGAAATAAAAACAAAATGGAACCTGTAACGCGTTACACAACCCGGCTACTTAACACATTCCTCAATCTTCATCTCAGCCTAATCCTGTCCCCCAAACGGGAACCCACAACACTGGACTTGCAAACAGAACCCAGCGCTGCTGTCCGCGTGATTCTGCAGCCTCCCTCCCCCTTTTGTTGCTTCGTGTCGTGGAATTTCAAAAAACAAAAGTGACCAAATGCATGCGGTTGGTTATTTTAGTTGGTAAGCTGAAACGGGCTTCCTTGGCTCTATTCCCAGTGATCTGGAACGTACGTAAAACATTTTTTTTTACATATATAGATATTATATACGGCCGTGGTCGATTGACGAATTTTACTTTTTCGCGGCCTTAGTTATGTTTGGGTCGGCGCAAAAATAAGATACAGCCTAATACGAAAACGTTTTACGGAGAAAGGGACGTGTGACACTTTTATTACGAAAATTGGAATGCGTTTTTAAAACGGAGCTTGCTACATAAATAGGCCTCGGGTTGATACTTTTTTTGTTGTTGGGGTAGTTGGCAGTACTATGGATGTTGGTGATTTTTGGGGGGGGGATGTAAAATTAATTTAGGGGGGGGGGGGTGGTGGACGGGACATTTTTTCTATAAAATGCCTTTTCTTAAAAGCAACAGTTTGGGTCCCTCTCTTTTTTTTAAACCAATTTCACGGACGCCTCGGCCCCCGTTGCATCTTTAATGTACACGGCTGAAGTTAAAAGGCCCGGCTTTTCTTGCACGCAGCGGTGTTTTTCTTCTATTCGAATGAAACGTTGCACGACGTCGCGTTTTCCCCAACCCGGCCAATAAGTCGCCGTTTTATTTTTGAATGCAGCTTTGCACGTTATATCGAGTCGTCGCAAGTGCGCGGGGCGTTGTGTATTCGTAAGAGTCGATGCTGGGGAAGGGCTGTTCTCCTGAGTGGCCCAGCCAACGGAGCTCACTCGATTCGGGCAAAGGGCATGGCACCTGTGATGGCGCAAGGCCTTTCATGCGTCCACTGAGTCCCAAGACTTCTTTTTCAGCAGGGGGGGGAGGGGGGGGGACGGTGCTACGTTGGGATGTCATTTATAATTCGGTGAGAGGAGGGTTTGGCTTCGTGTGAGAAGAAATCGGGAAAAAACGGAGAAAACCCACCCGCGTACGAGGGGATGAAACTCGGAGCCCCGCACGGATGGATTCAAGAATCCATTTGCTGTAAGATCTAGCCACCTTAAAGCCCTGCTTGGCCTATGAAAACAGAGGCATTTTATAGAAATCAGAAGATAAGAAAATGTACACGTTATTATAATTTTTTTCGGATTTCTTATTCAACATATCCGAGTTGATACACAACTACTTCCATGTTGGAGTTTTAGCCTTCGTATATTACCATGATGGCATGGAGTGGTTTTTTGCAGTTTTTGACACACTGCGCTCTGAACCTGGCTAACCTGTGTGTTCCGATGATTCCCAGGCCCCGGCTAACATCAGTGGCGAGTGATTTCTGAATCTGCCATTGGTGACCCCACTTGATCTTATCTCGTCGATCGACGCTGTTGTGCACGCTGCCACCAAAATGATGGCAATATTATCACCTTTAACAAAGTTCCCGTGAATTGTGAACCCCCTGGGCCAATGTTTAGTAGCACGCTGAACTTTAAATCCAGGGTTGTCGATTTGTTTGATCAAATTTCTTACACCAGAGCGAGTCGTGTGGTGGGTAAAAGCGTGGGTCCTCCCGCTCCACTTAAGATGTCTGGCTTAGAGTGGCTTCGGGAGAAGTAGGCCAAATTCTGGAGATCCTTGCGCCAGCAGTATCCTGAGCAAGCAATTATGGGGCTGCTGCCTTTTTTTTACCTTTGATAATGTCGATCCCAGCACAGCAGCGTCCCGCGCCGGACAGATACGATACGTTTTAACTCGGCAACATCGTTGCAGTGAAAGCTGTGATAATAATAATATAAAAAAAATTGGGTTAGATTGCGTAAATATAAATGCGTCGTTAAACCTGCGACCACCCAACAGGGCGAATTTGTAATGTTTGTCACGTGAACTAAACGTGCCCCAATTCGTTACTACTTCAGCACACCGTTATACCGGGGTTTAACGACGCAATTATATTTACACGATCTAACCTACCCCCCCCCCCCCCCAAAAAAAACCCTTTTATTCATAATGTGTGTCACGAAAGCCTCCTCCTACTAATTATACGTGTTAAACAAAGTTGCACCCGTTGGCGTTCAGCTTGAAGAGGATGATGACTCCTCCACCCTTGAGCGGAGATCGAATCCGCGTTGGCGTATTTATTGAGGGCGTCTCTCCTCCGCGGACGTGCGATGAGGATGGCGACTTCGCTCTCCCTCCGACGGCGTTACCCCGTGAAAAGATCGCGGCGCATTTGGTCTCCGAAGCGCGGTTTATTTCTCGTTTCAATTCTTCTTTCTGGTTTTTTTTTTTACTCCCAATGTTACAGCACTTACGGCGTTGTGCTGACGCGTTGCTCACGTCCTCGTCGCCAACGGGGGAAATGTAATCCAACTTTATGTAGCACTTTAAAGGATCGTTACATTATTTTATCCTTTTTTTTTAAGTGTATTTATTGGTATCACCTTGAAACG